ATATATATATATATATATATATATATATATATATACACACACACACTACTGAGTCAATTTGAGAAATAAGATGTGTATTATAATTTATAGTAGAAGATGAAATACTTCAACGATATTATAATCCTTAGACCTAGTCAAATCCGATTCCCATCAAAATTATTTGAAATTAATTATTTTGATGTTAAATGAATTTTAGATTGATCATTTGAATTTTAATGAGTCTTTGGATATTTTATTTCTACAAAATAGATTTATAAATAAAGAGATATTCAATTTTCAGTATTTTAATATTAAGAGAGAAATAATATTTACTTTTAATATTCTAAAAATCAATCAATAAATTTTATAAATCTCTAATTGTATGGGCCCACCATGAGCTATGAGCTCATCATAAAAATATATCATATGGGAATTGTGTGGGGCCCACATGAGGCGACCTAAGGTGGCGCGCCCCACTCAATAGAAACCTTACTTGGTAAAATATGGTCAAGCCACCAAGGCTTGCAAAGCAAGTTGAAATAATATAATATGATTTGAAATTATGGAATGTTGATTTCAATCAATATATTATTTATAAGAAGATTATAAAAAATTAAAATAAAAATGATAATATTTTTTATAGGGTCTGGTTTGTATAGAGCCGGGGCTCCAAACAATCAAATTAGAACCTACCTTCAAATAGTGTCGAGAAATGTGGTTTCAACTTTGAAAATCTTTGTTATTGCCTTAAAATATATTTTCATCTTTATTTAGAAAGTTTAAAGCTTAAAAAATAGTGTAGATCGACAGATCTATGAAAACATGAAAATATTGAAAATTGACGGTCCAAAAATGCATTACAAAATATCCTATTTCCAAAACTTGAAATCCATTTTTTTCTCATGTCCATGCATCTTGATATTGAGATGATCAATTTGAGGATATTTGGGCATTAAAACAATCTCTTCTAGTGAAAGTTTTGAGATAGGCTCAAATTTAATTGTTTAAAGCCTCAGCTCTTTATAGACTTTTTCTTTTTTTTTATATACTTTATTATTTGTTGGGATTTAATTTAAATAGTTAAAAGATAAAGTTCTAACACCTTCATTTGAATCACAATGATTGATCTTAGGATGGGATGACTCAGATCTCTCAAACCATAAGCCTCGTATGATCAATAGTCTGGTCTAATCTCACTAAGGATGGTTCACCCTAAGGAAACCTTAACCCCTATAAACATGGGTCATCGCTCCCATATATTTTTTAGACATCTCTCATCTCTCTCTACTCTCTCTCGGGTGGCACGCCACCCTCTAGGATATTCTCGCTTCTCTCTAAAATCTCTCCTTTCTCCCTTAACATAAGATTTAGAAAGAAAGACAGGCACACCCCACCGAAAAAAGACGGCACACCCCACCTAGATCTAAGAGGGGAGGCACGCCCCATAGCCTGAAGCATTGAGGCCTAGTTTGCGATCAAAGGTTCAATACTCTTATATGTTGAAAGGGTAGTAGCTAAGCTTTCCCACATTTTGTAGATATTGATCCCGTGCACCATTAGAGGAGGAGACTTGACATGGGGTGTACTAAATCCGATTGAAGTAATCTTCTGACCTCATTATATCATGATTTGTAATATTTTATTTTTTATGCGTTCTTATTTCCATAAGCATTGTGTTGGTGAACAAAAGAAAAACCACGTTTGGTTATTTATTTATTTATTTCAAGTGAATTTGATTGTAATTGAACCTTTATAAGTGTTATAGTTGGTGAGAAAAAATAAAAATAAAAATTATATACACCGATCACCTTGTCTAACTTTCAAAGTTGTGACACCTTTGTACCCAATTTTTAGGGATAAATAGTAACTCACTGGGTATAAAAGTTCTCAACATACACCATATGTTTGAAACTTTAGCCCATTTTTGGACAAATATAAAAGTAAGAATACATAGAAACTCAAGGGCCTAGGACGGAAAAACTAAACAACCATTGATTCTCTAGCCTGATAATAGAAAAAGCTACATGCCAACTTGATATCATTAACAGAATGGAAGTGAAAAAGATTAATGGGGAGTCCAGTTTGAGTTAGCATCTGCACTACTCGCCTTGATCAATACTAAAACCCCAAGAAGTACCGGCAGACCAATTATCACCAGGGCTTGCAGGAGGTTGGGCCTCGTAATTTCAGGGACTAATATGCTGCCATATTTAATAAGAGCTCCACCACCAATAGAGCCTGCTGTAAGCTTCCAAAGATAATTTCGATCTTCCTTTTCCACCTATGCAGCAGACATAATAAGCATACCATATGACTGTGTGTAACTATGGAGCCACAAAGAACATACTAACAGTTTCATATCACATAGCAGAGACAGAATATGAGAGGCACGCTTATTAACATTGACAAATGGCATTCGAGACAGAAAATATCTACAAATGGGAATCTTAAGAAAGTACTTTATAGTAAAGAGCATAACCAGAAACAAATATGATCCGTATTTTTTTCTTGAATTACTATGCGTCAACCACAAAACATGACCAGAAAGCGCTGCAATCTGCCAATCTCTGTTTCATACATTTCTTTAAATTCTCAAAGTACAAGATGTAGAATTCAGATTCCATTAAGAATCAAAGGCAACTTTCCTCCTGATCATCCTCACCAAGATACAGCGTTGCAGATTTGCCAAGATTCACAGGTTCTTAGTATAGGAAGGGCGAAATTCTAATTTTATAGTTGCAGCAATGCAGATTTGCCATGCTTCAGAGGTTCTTAATATAAGAAGGGCACAATTCTAATTTTTAAAGTTGACAGCCAACCAATTGGTGTGCATCAACCATGTCATTTCCACCTGTTCAAGCAAAATTGAAGAACCCATCTATCAGTGGAAGCTTGTGCCTCAAAAGTGTGTGACCCAATGATGGTTCACCATCCAAGGCAGCCAAGAGATGGCATGCAAAGGTGGGTCCATAAAAGACCCACATGAAACCTAGAGAAACTCTAGGTGGGGCATGGATGTCCTAGTAAATGTGGAACACCACGTGGTTCCGATCAGATTAATATTCTTTCTAATATTTCTTGAGTGGATTCGCAAATTGCTATGATTTATTTCATTATTTGTTTCCTAGTTGTAATGGGGTTAGAATAGCTTCTCTAGGAACTAAAATGGGAAGATTAGGATCTCAGAACCACCATAAATTGATTCACAAGAAACTGGCCAAAGGAATCAACTTGAGTAAAACCATGAGTTCATTTAATTGCAGTCAGAGACCACCCTTTGAAGAGAGATTCCTCAACTATTTTTGTAGAGAGTGATTCCATAACTCTAGCTTAAGATAGGGAGAATCTCCCCAAAAAGTTACATCCTTTTTATTCCCATTTTTTATGGTGCCTCTTCTTCAAAAATCCCCCTCAACCAAATTCATCACACTATTTTTCCAACCCATCAAATCGACCCTTCACAAGCCCTAATAACATATCCACCTTGCCATACCCATCACCTACAGCCCTAAGGTCCCCAACCCCAAATCAGCCCTAATCATGTCTCATTCTCTTCAAATCCATCAGTTACCTTGATGGACGTGTAATATTCCAGCAACTTATACCCCCCTAAACACCTTCTAAATCTAATCCAAACTGTTTCCCTACTCATATCTGACCCTTCCCTATTAGCTTACCTCCAATCCTACCTATTGAGATCTTAAATTCCCCAATTCCATTCAAACTAGAACACCTAGGTACCATACTCCCCCCAAGCGTGGCTGTCCCAAAAATTTTGCAGTACTTATAAACCTCCTAAGATCTTTATTTGTAGTGGGAATCCTAACCGAAGTTAGACCCACAAAGTAACTAGTAAACCCAATTCGATTAGGACTTCATTTCCAATTAGAATTTCTCACACAAAAAGGACTCCAAACCTAACTCTTTAAGTTCTTCCATCTCCATACAAGCCCACCAAAGGTTAATGCACACCTGCAGGTTCATCAGTTTCAGCATCAAAGCCTAGGATCCTTGGGGCAAGACTTAAGACAAAATCAGCATGACAAGATCCTCATGTGAATGACAAAGGGGTAAATTCCATTCATGAGGTCTAAATTTGTTAGATAAGGAAATATCCACTATGCAAAGTACAGTTAATGATGCCAACCCAGAGGATAATGGGACTCAAAATGGGTAAAACAGAGGGATTAACCCACCTCCAAGAGAGCTTCCTCAGTTGGCCCCATTTAAGCTAGGCAACTTTGGTCGAGCAGCATCACATAATGATGATGATGATGATAGAGCAACCAAGATTCACCTCAAGGTTGCTGATTTCTATATAAGAATGAACTCCCCAACTCTTTTAGATTGGTCTACTAGTCTAGAACACTACTTCAACTGACACAATGATACAGTCGAGAACTAGTCTACAAGACTACTTCAACTGATACAACTGATACAACAAGTCTGCACTCCGGCCACCCGCAGCTACATGGAAATCTGACTTCCCCGGTAAGCTAGCAAAAGAACCATACCTGGTAAGCTAGGCTGGCCCCTGCCCTCCCTTGTAATAGACCAAGTTTGGTGGGAAGGTGTAGAAAACAAGCTCCACAGATCGGATCAGCTTGCTCTCCAAGTTTGGGAGGAGATGAAAGCTTGTTTGAGAGAATGCTAATTGCCTCCACTATATGAACAGATGTTGTTTCAGAAGCTGCACTCCATTAAGCAGGGCAGCAAGACAGATGATAAGTACACTGATGAGTTCCATGAGCTTACTCTTCACAACCAACTTTTTGAGACTGATGACCAGCAGGTTGCAAACTACAGGCTGGACTTCGAGGGGAGATTCAGTAAGAGATGGTCACAATATTTCCATGGGCCGTTGGTGAGGAATTACCAGCTGGCTTTGAGGATCGAACAACTGAAGATACGCTCAATGGTTATTCTTAAGATTTAAAAAAACAGATCAATGACCCGGATCGTCCATTTGGAAACCGTATCGGATTGGCTGGATTCTGCCTTAAAACAATTTTAAAAAATTACTAAAATTTCGTTAAAATTCTAGTTTTTTTTAGGTTTCGTAAAAAATAATGGTATTGAGTTATGGTTTCTTATTATTTTATGAAAATATTTGGTATTGAGAACCTGTCTCATGTCTGAGTGTTTGTTGTATTAAGATAATAGTACATCTTACCACAAAAAATAATAGAATTGATTTCGGGTTGTTAGGACAATAATCAAGGCCAAAATACCAACTGAATTGTGGGGGGAACCGGCCGGTTCTCGATATTTTACGGCATCCAGATTGGCCTATTCTGATCCGGATCACTGATTTTTTTAACACTGATTATTATACCCAATCCAATCACATTTCCTGCTGCTGAGAACTGCACAGAAGTAGCCACTTTCAAGCCCCTACAAAAATAACAAGGTCTCTAATGTAAGTGGCTTAGAAACAAGGATCAGGAGGTACCAATGAACCTACTCACAGGGGCAGCAACCAAACAAAATGTCCGCAGTGTGGTAGGGTGCATCGAATGGCCCTTCAATGCTCCTCAAAAACTATCAATTTCCTCAAAGAAGTTGAGCATCTTGAAGACGTGGAAGAGCAATTAAAAGGTAAAGTTATTGAGGCCCTTTTAGGAATTATCCTTGCTTGCCATACTGAAAGATATCAAGATGATTGGAGGCACAAGAGCATTTTCAAAAATCATGTAAAAATGAGACGGAAACAATTGCAACCCCATTATACACGTTGGTATCAGCACCAATGTTGCTTCAAGGGGGCTTCTTCACACTCTTCTTGATGACTGAGAAACATCTCACCCCAAGGTTGCTTGGGTGAATACCACCACCATCCCGGTTACTCGCTGATGTCTGATTACCTTCTGGATGAGTAACTCTCATCAGGTTTGTTGTGATGTCTTTCCTCTGACTATTACCCACAGCCATTTGGGGTGCATTCGATCTACGATAACAAAGTCAAACATGGCAGTGAGACTTACACCTTCAAGGTCAAGAACAATAACTACCTTGAAACTTTTGAAGGAAACAAGTTTCACCAAAGAGGAGGAGCCAAGCAAGCTCATTAATTCTGTGACTCTCCGACCTTTTCTAGAAAAAATTCAAGAAAATCGAGCCACTTATGCACTTGTCGATGTCAAGCCCGACAAGCAGTTTCTCAAAGAGCATGCCCCGTAGATCTAGAAGATCCTCCTAGATTTCTCAAATTTGATCCCAGATGAGCTCCTTGATGAGTTGCCTCCTATGAGAGATATTCAGCATGCCACTCTCATCCGTAAAGCTAGTCTTCCAACCTCCCCTTCTACTGCATGAGTCACACAGAGCATGCAAGGCTTTGCCAGCAAGTTGAACAGTTGCTAGCCAAGGTTTTTGTTTGTGATAGCAAGAGTCTTGAGCACAACCTGCCCACATCACTACCACAACAGACCACACATTCTGCATAGGCATTGACAATCTAGCTACTAACAAGATCGTAGTAAAGTATCGGCTTCCCATCCCCCAATCAGGTGATGCTTGATATGCTAGTTGGATAGACTATTCTTTCGAAGATTTACCTTTTCAGGGGCTATCATCAAATTGTATCCCAACCAAGAAAGAAGTGGAAGACTGCTTTCAAGACAAAAGACAATCTCTATAAGTGGCTGGTTTGCCATTTAGGTTAATTGACTGTTAGCACAGTCATGAGCATGATGACTCATATCTTGCAGCTTTTAATAGGGAAGTTTTTTGTCATCTAGCTTTGTGACAATTTGTCTGTAGTTGTAACAGAGAGGAACATGAGACACTCATCAACAGGTGATAAGACTCTAGCGCAAAGACAAATTCTACATCAAGCCTGAAGAAGTGATTTTTTATGACTTTACATGTCTTTCTGAGATTTGTGTTCTCTTCCAGGAAAGATCCAGGCCACCCTCAGTTGGCCACCCCCAAGAAATATCCAACAACTGCACAGTTTTTATGGACTGGCAATGCTCGTTTGTTCAAAATTTCAGCTCAATTATACCCTATCATTAATTGCTTGCAAATCAGGGCCATTTAAGTGGACCAAAGCAACCTTGTGTAGAGATAAAGCTCAAGATTACCCACGCTCCAGTTGTCAGACTCCTTGACTCTGAGAAGATTAATAAGTGTGATGGATCATATATTGGCATGGGTGCTGTCCTTAGTCATGAAGGACACCCTGTTTCACTCTTTAGCAAGAAGTAAGATAACGGGAAATAAAATTACTTTGTCTATGACATGGAGTTCTATGCAGTGGTACAAGCTCTCAGACATTAG